TGAAATGCTACACTTTGTACGAAATATTGTATATAAACAGATCATTAAATTTGAAGGACTTTTTTTTTTTTGAAATTGCAGCACAATAATTCTGTTTAACCGTGGATAAATTAGTTTTGTCCATTATATTTTAGCTTTAATTCATTTAGTCCCAGAAAGTCTTTGTCTCTTGGCAGACGCTCATACTTCATCTTAATTTAACTATTTTATAAAGCTTGTGTTGATTTCACTTGTAATATTTTGCTGCCTTTTAACGGAGGCAGACTGTATTTCATATTTTGCTTCACTCTTTTATGCAGGTCTCAAAGAGGCACTATAATAAGAAGTACTTGTATTATAATTGACTGGATACCATAAAAAAAGTGTATGATAAATGCATACAAAGCAATTTTCATTACTCAGTAAAGTATTACTGTCCATAGCTTTTCTATCCGGATGCTGTGTCTCATTTAAAACCCGTTTGGGGTGTATTAACATAAAAAGAGAAATGGAGCACGTGGAACAAGAAACTGTGTTCTCTTTTTGTAATAAGTTAAAAGCAGAGGTTACAAGAATCTCCATCTCTGGAGAAGCTAAAAAAAAAAAAAATGGACACGATCATGAGAAACAAGATCTAACTTTGGAGTTGTATCTAGCTTACAACCAAAGGACAGCTGGACAAGGTTACCATTAGAGGTTTCTTCCAACCTCTTATTCTGTTTAAATGGTTCTGCATTAATATGTTTCAAGTACTCATCAAAATAGATCCAGTTATGGAAGAAATATGACCTAATGCAAGTAATAATCCAAGTTTTAATCCAAGTAGATGGTTGTGTAATCATATCTTATCCAGATAAGGAAGGTGCATGGATAGAACTGAAGGGAGCATACGGTTAACTATATGTTGAAGTGATGGCCTGAGTCAAGTTAAAATTCCTCAGTATCATAATTTGTAGCCCCACTTTGACAACTAAGGGTGAAACTGAAGCATCCTGAGTTAACTTAAATATTGAATGCATATATTACATGTACTTATAAAAGCTCTCAGTCCAGTAGAAGTATCTGAGAAAAGATACCCATACAGCACAGTGGCATCCATATGTTAAGTGTATGCTGTCATGCTGTTTCATAGGTCTTTAATAAAATGGACCCATAGTCTGTGAGCCTGACAAAAACCACAGTGGCTTCCAGATGCAGGAGAAGATTATCACTTGAATGCAGGCTTGGTCAATTAGGATGTTTCTGAAAGGGATGAATTTGCAAAGAGTAGACAGTTTATTTCCAGATGGGGTTAAAGCATGTATTGTTATTATAGCTCTTTTCCGGTGGCTGACTTTCTACATGTAGCTCATTTCCTTCTTGTTTTTAGCATGTTTCAAGTAAGCTGCAGAAATATAAAAAGTTCATCTGCAGGTAGAAGTCCTGCTTTGATTTTACCAGTTCAGGTTAATGGGGGGGGAAAAAATTGCAGATGTTTGTCTGGCAACAGTTCATGGTCCCAGCAGGCAGGAAAGACTCCAAAACTCACTTGAAACTGTGGCTATACTGTCCTATACAATGACTTTAAGAAAAACAATGTGAATAAGATTAGTTCAAATACGTTTCCTAGCTTCTTTCTATTTATGGCAAGGAAATGTTTGGCTAGTTCTCAGTCAATTCTGACACTGCAGTGAGTGACTAAGCACCATTAAGAAATTTTAAGGAAAGCAAATATCTAAGTCTTCAAAGCCTGGGTTGATCAACTGTCAAAAGTTTTAGTGAAGTTACAGGCCAAGCAGGGGTCTTGAGATCACTTCATAGAATTACAGAATGGGGTTGGAAGGGACCTCGAGGATCATCAAGCTCCAACCCCCCTGTCATGAGCAGGGCCACCATTCTCCATATCTAATACTAGACCAGGTGGCCTAGGGCCCTATCCAATCTAGCCTTGAACACCTCTGGGGTCTTCTGATGGTCCTTTCATCTTTCATGCTCAGCAAAGTATTATGGTGTGCCGATTACCTGTACATGACTTTCTTTGAATACAACCATTAACGCTTCTGGGCGTATTAATGACAAACAATGTGAGTGGACTTGTCCCTTTACTACCTACCCAATCCTTTGGGATTATTCTGCCAAATCTTAGATGTTATAACCAAATGAGGTTTTGTGATTATCTTGAGGCTAATGACCTGCCAAATAAAGTCAGACCTACATCATCTGTAATCCATGAGATTGCACTGGCATGTGCCCCAACGCTGTGTGCACTATGCATCAAACACTTGCAAGGAATAGTGGTTGCATATGTAGCACCTGTGGAAAACAGATCAAGAAATGAGCAAGTGGGTTTTTCTCCCTTTTTAAGGAGCAGTAAATGACCGGATCAGTAAGAAAAGCAAGCAAAGAAGACCAAAGACAAATTTAGTAGCAGGAGTTTGTGTAGCCCGTGAAAACATGCCGCTGGAGGCTGACTCATAAACATTTAACTCTGACGATTAAACCCTGTCATGATTGAGCATAAAGATGTTGCAAACTAGAGCTTGCTTGCTTCTTCCTCAGTTGTGTAAGGCACTTAAGCTTTGTGCTGTGGTAAAAAACACTGGCAAGACATTTCAGATATCAGAGTCCAGAAGGTCCAAGCAGGCAACATGAAGTAGAGGTTACACAGAATCAGCCTCATTGGTAAACAGGATGTGGTTATTGGGTAAGAGCAGCAGGCCTCTCAGAAGCTCTGAAATACAGCAGCTAAATCCAGGGATAATGGTGATGCTTGCTGAACTATAAAATGAAGGTCATATTACTCCTCTCACTGATGTCCCAGTGTGAGAGAAGGTTGTCATTCATTTTCTACAGGAGTTGTTTTTTTGCATGGTATCAACTGAAAAGCATGAAGGAAGAGAAATGCTGCTGTATCGACACTGTATATATTGTAATATATATTTAGCATGAATTTTTGCAAGAATTGGTACCACATAACAACAATGAATGAGGTCCTCTTTGTGTTCACTGCTGACCTAAACAGAAAGTGAAGTTCAATCTCTTCTCTAAAAATGTATTATTGAGGTAAAGAATGGATTCAAGGGCTGAGTACACAGCAGATTAAAAAAAAAAAAAAAAAGAAAGTGACTGAAGTACGCAAAGAGTGCTTATGGTTTTTAATCCATCAGCAAGTTCTGAAGTTTGTGTCTGTGATTAATATTGCCATAATTAACAAGACTAGTTGTGATACGAATGTTATAGCTGGGAGTGTTTGAAGGACCTGACCTGACATATACTGATAACAGGATTTAGATGGCCTATTAGTTGCAATCTTAAACTTACACTTATGGATTATCTTTACCTGCTACAATCAATGTTTACCATTTAGTCCAACGTAGTTGAGTTTCATTAATTCTCTTCCCAGCTTAATACACTGCAGTGATCATCTATGAATAGACTAAAAAATTACACTTTAGAATTTACAAACTGTTAGATTAAATATGTACTGGATAATCTAAGATACTGAAATTTCTCTTAAAATGAAATTAGTTCTTACATGAGGTATTTACTGAGTCATTCTTAAGTCTACTTTATTTACAGGATTTTTGTCATCTTTGGAGGCATGCCTTCGCATGCTCACCACAATGAGTGGAGGAAGTGTCCAAGAGACCTGGTAACACAGGTGGATAGCTCAGTGAGTTCATCAGGCAGTCGCTTCACAAGAACACGTAAGTTGTCCTGACTGCCTTCCGCCATCCGTACATCACATGTCTGTGTGTAACACAGCTTTAAACTGGTGTGGGATTTACAGGTGTAATCCTCTGGAAGTTTTACTTTTGAGGTTGTTATTATGGCTATGTTGCAGCACTTTGATTGCACTTATCCGTCTGTGTGCTCTGTTATGCTGACAGTGCTAACAAAGCACGCCCAGCTACCAGGCTGAAACACTCCTTGTCAACACGGCTTTGGCTTTGCTGGGCGCTGAGCTGGGACGTCTTGAATCACATCTACACAAGCTTCCTCCAACACTGGGCAGTGGTCTAGTTTGTTTTACTTGAAAAGAAAGTTCAGGAAACAAACAGTACCTTCAGAAACATTATGACTGAGGTGTGAATAATAACTGTTACAGGAACAACTGAATAGATTACACAAAAAATGCACTCGAATACTAAATGCAAAGCAGAATATGGGCAGCACAACGCGAACCCCTGTCCGCCAGCGGAGAGCGACGCTCGGCAGCTGCTGCCGTGCCCTAACGCGGCCTCGTAACGCGTGGAGGCGGCTCCTCAGCACCGCGTGCGCTTCTCTGCGGGTGTCCGCCGAACCGGAGGCGCCGGAGTCGTCCTGCCGACACCGCTCCGCAGCCCCGTCCCCTCCGCACTCCGGGGCGCTGCGGGGGAGACCGCGCATCGCCACATCCGGGTGCCGGCCCTCTCTGCGCGCATGCGCGGCCGCCCCGCCGCTGTCAGGTTGGGAGCTGCCGCCGCCGCCGCTCCTCCCCGGGGCGCTGCGCTTCCGCGTTGTCAGGCAAGGGGGGCGAGCGCGGGATGGGTGAGGGGGGAGGAGGAGGAGGAGAACGGCGGTGGCGGCGGCGGCCGTGGGGGCGGCCGCCGGCGGCATCCCGCCGGTGACTGGCTGGCGGCACACGCAGCTCCGAGGAGGCGGAGGGTACCCGAGCCGAGGGGTGGGGAACGAGACTGCGGCGGGAGGGAAGCGGCACACGCACCGCACGGACAGCGCGCGCACACACACGCACACACGCAGGGACGGGTGACAGCGGCGGCCGCGGCCGCCACCATGTGAGGCGAGGCGGGGGGGGGTCACGGGCGGGCGGCGCGGTGGGCTGACGGGCTCGTATCTGCTTGGCTCCAGCCTCCGTTCCCCGATGCGGAGCGGCCCCGCGCTGCCGGACTAGCGTCTGGGCCCGTCGCCCTCCCCACGGGCGGGAGAGCAGCAGCGCGGCCGCCCCCGCACCGCCTCCCTCCCGCCGGGGGCTCGTCTGCCGCCTGCGGGGCGGGCGGCGGCGCCGGGAGCGGCGAGGCCAGCGGAGCGGGCAGCGCCGCCGCCGAGAACCATGAGGAAATTTAACATCAGGAAGGTGCTGGACGGGTTGACGGCGGTCTCCTCCGCCGCCTCGGCGTCGTCCGCCTCGCAGCAGCAGCAGGCGGGGAACAGGGAGAGCGACATCCAGGAGACGCTCCAGTCCGAGCACTTCCAGCTCTGCAAGGTGAACGGCGCGGCTCTGCGGGCCCCGGTCTGCGGGCTCGTGTCGGGAGGGAGGGAGGGAGGGAGGGGGGGAGGAAAGAGAAGGCGGGTGCGTGTGCGTGGGGCGACTTCCCGCAGCCATCGCTCCCGGAGAGCTCCAGGGGCCGTCGCCTTTTGGGCTGCGTGATGCGTGTGGTCTCGGTGTTACCGCGGGATGGCTGCGGGTAGGAGCGCTGCCCGGCTGAGTGCGCCCCGTGGTAAGGCGCTGCCAAGGGGCCCGTGGGCTGTGCAGCTCTGTGCTGTTTGGAAACGCTTTCGTGCCGTTCCTTCGCGCCTGGAAAAGACTGTGGACGTTCGTGGCCGTTTCGCTGCAGCGTGTTGCCGAGCGGCCGATGCTGCTTTTGCAAGTGTTCTCCTGAGACGGAAGAAAAGTTCCTCTTTTTTTTTTTTTCCTCCCCTTATTTGCTTGTGTGCGATACAAGAACTGCAGTTGGTGGCTGCACGCTTTGGAAAATGATGCAGCGAATTAATCCAGCAGCTGTACCTAGAGGAATAAGAACTGATTTGAATATCAGTACCCGTTTTTTATCTTCACAGTGCACCCGTGGCCAAGTGTGATATGGCTGAGCTTGTTTGCGGTTTCTCCTCCTTGCTTTCTGTGGTATTGCAGGCGCTGCTGCCACTTTTACAAGTTGGTCTTGAAGGATGTGGAAAAGAGCAGAGCTATTACCACGCAGGCTTTATTCACTGTGTGAAATACTAAGAGTTGTGGGCTCTATCTGCAACTTGGCTGAAGAAGAGAAACATAGCAGAAGTTTGATGAGGTCCTTAATAACCCTGCTTTCAGTGAAGGTTTTGAAATGGAAAAGCTGCTGTTTGTGTGGCTCTCACTGTACACCTGAGAAGGAAGGAAGAATAGGTGGTGTTCCTATTGTTCTTGATTCTGATTGATTGCAGCAAGAGAACTGCAGTGGAGTTATTGCTTGGTCAATTACCAAATTAGTCTTGGCCAATCAGAAACCTAAATGTGTGAAGAGCTTCATTTTTATTTATTTATTGATTTTAATTCCTTGGTTAAAGGTTCTTGCTTTGTTTTGAAGGGTGGGGATTTTGTTTTTGTCTGATTTCAGGAGATATTTGGATTCATTAGTTTTGGATGGAAGCAGAGGTTGAGAAACGTGTGGAGGCTGGGTTGCTGGGTATTTTTGGGAAGGTGTTGAGAGGTTGCACTGTCATATGGGGCCTGTTGGAGTGAGATTGAGGCAATTCTCTGAAAGGCGAGGGTGGTAATTTGTAGCAGTTCTGATGGCAGATCTGGCTTTGTTTCCAAACTTCCTAGGAATAACTCAGGCTTTAATTGTTTACTGCCTTTGTTAGGGCTGAAAATAGGAATAATCAGAAAAGAAAGTAAATGAAAAAATAAAATGCCTTGCTGATACAGTCTTTGTACAGTGATAATGCAAAAGTAACATTAAGTATTAGCAAGTGAGTGACTGTGTTGATGTAAAAATATATATGTATATTTTTTATAGTTCTTTCTTACAAGACAGCAGTTAGTCTGTTATTAAAACGCTATGGTTCCTTAATTGTCATTGACACTGAATTTCATTCCCTAACATACGATATTGATTCTGTTTATTTTTGGTCTGCTGCTCGTTCCATCATCGCTACGGTGCACTGACTTGTTAGACTGTACGCCATGGTTTCCCCTATCAACCTTCAGCCCTGGCATTTGATCCTGTTCAGAAAATACTGGCTATCGGGACCCAGACTGGAGCATTAAGACTGTATCCTTTCCTGTTCTGAAAAGGAAATCAGTGTACCTCACACAAGAGATGCCTTCATTCAGCTGCTGGAGTTGCTCCAACATGTTGTGGGAACCAGGTATGCAGGAGGGCAAGAAGGCCCGTGTGCTGTTGACAGGTGGTTTGACTCTTCTGCTTATTCCATGTCAGTTCAAGTTGTGTTCATGTTATGAGAGGTATGGCTGCTTAGTTCCCATCATCTGAAGCTAATACATGCATTTTGTAGAGGGCTACCAATGCACTGACAATTCATGGCAGCTGACTATGCATCTAAAGAGAGGCTTGGTCTGAGATCTTTTTCACTGTATTGCTTTATCCAGTGGAATTCTAAAATTCTGTGTTCCTTTTTTTTTGTTGTGGTTTTTTGTTGGCTTTACTCTTGAGAGAAGTGTCACAATACTGTGGTTACTTATTACCACTTCTGTGTTGCAAACATTGGCTTCAAGTGGGATGCTAGGGGGTGAAGAGATGGTATCTCACTGATGGTTTGCAAGCAACTGAGGTGAGCAGACTGAATTTATGGAGTAAACCAACAGTAACCCCACTACTTTCTGTATGCTAAAAAGTGCCATGTGTTTGTACCCATATGGTACCATATCCATATGGTACTATCCAAGCAACCTAATAACATGTGTTTCAACTTCATTTTAAAAGGTGCCTTGTAGAGTCATTAATCTACACTGCTACTGCCTAAACTTTACTTCTTAGCAGAGTAGAATGAGTTGAAATCTCTGCTGTCCTGAAGCTGCATGAACTCTGACATTTTTGGAAAAGGCTTAGGCCATTTTGCTAGAAAAATTGAGTTAATCCTCTTTAAACTGCAGGTACATCTCATAATTCTCTTATGCCTTGTACTTATATTTCTCTGCAAGTAGATATTGTTTTGTTTGTTTCCTTCTGTAACATCACCATCCTGTCCAAGATTAATTGTATTAAAAGGGTTATCTTGTACAAGTTGAAAAGGTAAAACTTCAGCATTAAATCAGAGGCTGAACTGAAGTATCTTGTATGATGCTGTAATGTTATGAACTCTCAAGGTCTCAACATAAAACTGTAGTGACCCTGCAATGTTCTCAGTGCCATATTTGAAACTACAGTTTATAAATTTTAGTTCTTTAAAAGGTGAGGTATTCCATTTAAATGGAAAAGGGAGGGTATGTGGTGTTACAGTTGTTAGATATTCTCGTATTGGTAGAATGGATGAGAGAACAAAAAGAAACTTAAAGGAAGGACTGGGGTTGGTGGGAGATAACAAAACGCAAGGATTTAGAGCTTGCTTGTAGGTAGTCTGGGGTGATACAACATTGCAGGTTGGCTGATGATGGCTTGATTAAAAACCTGTTTACTGGCACTTTGCTGTGACTACGCCTGTGATTTCTCTGAGTGTGAATTGTTTCTCAAATAATCAAGATAAGTCCAGCAGGATCGTGAGGGAAGCAACAGAGTTACTGTGAGAGGAAGCAGCATAATTAGTAACAGAAAATTTATTTCTGAAGGGAAGAAGTTTCACACAGGTTGCAATATTTGAGTTCCTTGTTGAAGATGAGTGTCCTCAGTACTGACTTTTAGATTTGGAAGAAATGTTTTAAAGCCTATTGTTTAGCCTGATGGGTTAGCATAGTAAGCCATCAGTGCTGTGTTGTATCTTCTGTGGTTGCTTACTCTTTGGGAGGAGGGAGAGGTGTGGGCAGAGGGATGGATTCAGGTAAACTTGAAATGTTAAACCAGCCTCTCAGTTTCTGCCTAGCGAAACCTAGAAAGAACAGGCTTTGGGAAGGAGTGAAACTTGCAGAAGCTGTTTTTCACCCTAGTGCTGATGGATAAAAACAACGACAAAGTTCTTGTTGACCTATAGGGTAACTTACCAAGGTTTTTACTGACAGTATCTTTTATGCAAGGATTAATTACAGTGGGAGCCACTTTTTAGAGCTGTAGAAGAGTATCTTATGAAATGAGATGTGCAGTAGAAAGAGTGTGAGTCACTAAGGAGATATTCATTGAGAACTAAATCCTAAAAGTGGAAGGGAAGTCAGTCTTCATTTTCTTCTGTTATGAGTATATAGGAGTAAAGGAGGGATAATGCTTCATTCGTTGCCTACCAGCAGATGGGAGTTGAGTATTAATGTTTTCCTTGCATCATCAAGTGTAGACACATCTTATCAGGCTTTCAGGTCCTTTCTATTGCAAATAGGTGATATGATCAATTTTGGAGTTACAAGTTCCTTTTTTTTTTTTTGAGAGGATATTAAGTATAAAATGTTCTTAAATAAAGTAATGCACTAACCTGTTTCAGATTTCATTAATATGTAAAGAAATCAGTACTACAGTCCTGAGCAATTAATGACCTAACCTCTTCATAGAACTTGTTCTCTGCATTTGAGCAATTTTCAATTCAGTCATTTTAACTTCATAAACCAGTGTTGTTTGAAAAAGATTCATGTGAGCACGATTTTTCTTAATCATGCTCCCATCTCATTCTTAATTATGAGGACTCTGCAAGTATTTGTCCATAAAAATGCATTTTTCTTTCACTAATACTGTTATCTGTACTATTGGTACAGTAACCGTAACATCAGAACTAAAACTTTTTCTAAAGAATGAAAATCTGTTGATAGACATACGCTGTTTTTGTATATTTATCAAACAGAGGCAAACGAGGACAAAATGACATCAACGTAGTATTAAGCTCTCTGAATCCAATTGTGCAAGTGGAAATACTAAAGTGCAGAATGTGTGTTTAACCAATCAGACTGGAAGGACAATTACCACTTCATTAACATTTTGTCCCTGATCTTTATCAGTTAAATTCAGAGGAGAGCATCGTGAAGTTAATGTACTGAAGACAGAACTCTGCCACTGCATGCCCATAAGCAGCAGTCTTAAGAAGTCCCTAAAAGCACCAGGATGGCACTACTTTTAGGTACTGTAAGCTTGTGTGTCATCAAGGTGATAGTCTGAGTACTCACTGCCCCTCTTGATTTCACTTCCAGGGTTACTCAGAAATATTTCTAATTCAAACTTAGGTAGGAGGCTTAAAAGCAAATGTTTCTGAAGCAGGCTGCTGTAAGTTGAATATTATCTTTAATAGAAATGAACATTTTGAGCGATTAGTGTGATTGTTCTTCCTTTTATTCCATTTCTGGCTATAAAGGAAGATCCTGTTTTGTTGGTTTTTATGTTGAGAAAAGTCAATGTGTAGCTTAGTAGAATACAAACCTGAAGAGCTGTCAGATATTGGACCCACTGCACTTGACATAGAATACCCAGCTGGTATGAGCATTCTCTCTGGTATCAGGATCCCTCAAAAGTAATTGAGGAGCTTAATTCTGTTTTCTGTTTTGCAGAGAAGATTGAATGATGAGATAAGAACAAGAGTAGAAGCACACTTGAGTGGCATTAAAAACTTAAATTTACTTATCTTGCAAACGCAATTATCTGTTCACTGTGATCTACTTGTTCTTCTGAGCTCATTGTGTTGACTGAAGGACACTCATTCCATATGGTTGAAGTGTTTTGAGTCTTGGCTGGTGGCTTGATCTTTGTGGCATTTCAGTTTCAGGCTTTTTTCTTTTTCTTTTTTCGGTTGCATTCCCCACAAGGAACAACTTTCTCACTGTTTATCAATGTCAAATTTCAATAGTCAGCATAAGTTTTTGATAGCAACACTTGTCGCTGTGGATATTGACTTCTCCATATGTAAACCATCTAGCTGGTTTTAGTGTGGTTTTGCTGTCACCTTTTGGTCTCTTGTTCCAAATATGTTAGATAGAGAGCTACAAAATGTTCATCTGTGTTTCTTTCCTGGATGTATTTGAATCATGAAAGCAGGATGCATAGTCCAGAGTATCTAAGAAGTTTCATCCATAATAATTGTGCTTTTTTTCCCAGCACATACTCAAAGCCTCCTAATGAGGCTCTAGGTCTAATGCACAGCACAGTGCAATTGGGCTGACTCCACTGCGTTGCACCCTGATGGCTTTCAGTGTCAATGGACAATGATGTCTGCTTCTATGCTGTCAGTTACTGTTGCTCTTTCATTTAAGAGTCCCTCTAGAAGTCAAGCATGAACTGAACACATTAGCATTTAAACTGTAAACAAATTTGAGAAAGGTGAAAAAAAAAAAAAGCTCTTCAGGATTTGTCTGTCTTCAGGATGTTATCTCCTCAAATTTTACATTACTAATTTCACAGGGCTCTGGACTTGAAAACAAACAGATAAGCTCAGATAACTATCATAGGAAGTATGATAGCTAAAGCAGATAATTTGAAGGAAACCTGCTGTTTAACTACTCCATCTTAAACTAGGTATTTAGTTTCCTATGCTTCAATTTCTCGACAGCAAAACTAGGACAGTGTATCAAGTAAGTCATGTTTTGATTGCCTGCCAACATGAAAGTGGTATTTTTATTGGTACTTAATATCTAAAAAAAAAAAAAAAAGTCGCTTGCAGCTTGCCTCTCAGTTTCTCTCATGGTGGAAAGAATTCTAAAAGTAAGACTACTTCCACTAGAAGGCCTTGAAAATAAAATACTAGTAGAGTAAGTGTTAGGTGCCTTTCACACTGATTAAACTATGGCTAGGACATTTTACTTTCAAACAGAAAGGGCTATAATCTTGTTTGTTTTTTTTGTGTTCTTTTCACGTTGCAAACTCAGTTCACAGGAAGGAGAAAAATTGAGTTGTTTGTCATTTTGTCAGTAAATATCTGAAAATTTCAGTCATTCTGAATGTCAGCATCTGTTCATTTCCCCCCATTCTTTTCAGCAGTAGAAGAAGATGGTTATATAAACAAATGGCTGAAATTTTCATATGAGGCATGTAAAACTTGCTTTCTGTAACTTCTATTCTCTGGCCTTTATGAGAAGAGCTTGCAACTGTTATTCTTTGATCAAAATAGCTCAAAGCCTGAATATGTGAGTCCATGCAGTTTCTGATGAAATGTTTGTTAGAGCATCTGGATAGTTTTGCTGTAGATGTATACC